CGGATCACCAACTTAATGAGTTGGAGAGGACGTTTGAACGACAAAAATACCTCAGCGTGCAGGACCGTATGCAGCTGGCCGAAAAACTGCGTCTATCGGATATGCAGGTGAAAACCTGGTACCAGAATCGTAGGTGAGTCACATGTGGGTACTTATTGCGCATAACAAGCCTGTCGTACCTAGTATGCCATGGTACGCAATAACATGCGCGTGAACTTGTCCATAGTGGGACGGACTTGCGCTGCATCTACTTCATTCTCTCTATCAGATGGCACTCGGAGGTGGGCGCGGACACGGTTATTGACAAAATTGAACGACCGGCCACACGCAATGTCATCCCTACTCCAGACTACACTTGGGAGGGGGGGGTGACTCGAAGCTCAGTTTGGGGAGAATACCATATTACTAAGGCGCCATTAAAGAGTGACATTCAATCCCGGATAGGGCAAGGATTAAGTATATGCGCGGGGTAAGAAAATGCTGACGACTGTCTAACAAGTTCTGCTTTACTGGCAGACGCATACGTTCCACCTAGCATTACTTCGAGTATTTTTGACTACCTGACTGCTCCCCCCGCCAACCTATTTTTAAATAATACAGTAGATATGCTCACTCATGACATGTCAACCAAAATTTCGAAATGCGTTTTCGTTTCGAAAAGATAAATTAAGTAGTGTTGTAAAACTAATCATGATGCAGCATAAATCTATAATGATCCAGTTACCTCAGGGTGTCGGCTTTCGAAAGAACTTATTTTCGGCTGCATGCAAGAACTTTACTCTGCCAAAAATGACTACTTAAGTAGCATGCAATTTTCTCATTGATTTTCGATGCCCTTGAAAACGCAATCATATTTCATGGAAAACATGCATAAAAGTATTCATTCCTTTACTTATTCGGTAGAAAATCACGTCTTCTTCCAATTTCATACTCAAAAGAATAGTGTAATTCGGTTTTAAAAATTTTCTAATCCCCGAATAATTTTGAACCCGACCTGCTGTTACACTTGCATTCAGGGTTTCAAAACTACAAGCTGTATATTTTCCGCGTACGGAAAACCATACATTTCTCTACGGTGTTAAGAGGAGACCATACGAGGTTCATAAAATTAAGCAGTGGATTTGAGCAACATTGTTAACTTTACAAGCCACATTCGTAAATGCAGATACATGACGTTTCATGAACGGCCATTTAACGGTATTAATAAATCTCACAATTAGAAACTTTTTGGAAACCGAATTATACTCTTCTTTTGAGTATGAAATTGGAAGAAGACGTGATTTTCTACAGAATAAATAAAAGAATGAATACTTTTATGCATGGTTCCATGAAATATAATTGAATTTTCAAGGGCATCAAAACTCAATGAGAAAATTGCATGCTACTTAGGTAGTCATTTTTTGCAAAATATAGATCTCGCATGCAGCCGAAAATAAGTTCTTTCGAAAGCCGATACCCTGCCGTAACTGGATCATTATAGATTTATGCTACATCTTGATTAGTTTTCCAACACCACTTAATTTATCTTTTCGAAACGAGAACGCATTTCGAAATTTTGGTTGACATTTCATGAGTTAGCACATCTACTGTAAACTTTCCTCCTAGTTAACAATTACGTGTGGGGGTGCAAAAAAATGAATCAGTGGAGATTTTTCGGCAGCACCGAATCCTTGGAACGGCAAAGGTCAGCAGATGTCATCTTGCCCGATGCCCGTAAAGATTTAATTACATTTTATAGAAAACATGCATAAAAATATTCATTCTTTTGTTGATTCAGTAGCGAATTACGGCTTCTCTCAATTTTATGCTCAAAGGAAGGAGATACTTTGGTTTTTAACCAGTTTCTAATTGTGAGACTTTTTAAGACCGTGAAATGGCTGTTCACAAAACGTCATGTCTTTGCATTTACCACTGTGACTTGTTAAGGTAATAATATGGTTCAAATCCACTGTTAACTTTTATGAACCCCGTACGGTCTCCTATCAATACTGTAGAGAAATATATGGTTTTCCGTACGCGGAAATTATACGGCTTGTAGTTTGGGAACCCTGAATGCAAGTGCAACGGCAGGTCGGGGTTCAAAATTATTCGGGAATCGGAAACGTTTTGTAAAACCAAATCATCCACCTCACCCAGATGACACTCGGAAGCGGGCGCGGAGACAGTTATTGACACAATTGAACAATCGGCATACATGTGCCACACTTCAGGCTACATTTGGGAGGGGTAGGCGGATGGAAGGTCATTTTGGGGAGAATACCACGAAAACCATATGAATAGGGCGCCATTAAAGAGTGACATTCAATCCCGGCTAGGACCGAGGTATCCCGTGAGTGGATAACCTTCAGAACCAAGATCGAGGGCGCATCGCATTTATTGTAGCGAGGGGAGAGTCGGGTTCACTCTGTCTCTCTTGCATGTCTTTTGCTCTGGCGGATTGTCCAAGCCTGTCAACTGACAGACGTAACACGAATTCGTCGTCTATTGCCTGCAACACATGCGCATACGGCATTTCACTCATAGTGCCGAGGCTTGAGGGTCGCGTGACAACCGTTTCTGCACATATAGGCAAGTTCATCGCTTGCAGAAACTACGGTCTGTAAAAAAACAATAACTTGAGTGGCATGAATAGAACTTATCGATTTTCGATGCTCTTATAAATTCTACCATATTGCATAGAAAACATGCATAACAATACTCTTTCTTGTACTCAGTTGGTAGGACGTTAGGTCTTCTTCAAATTTTATAATCGAAGGAAGAGTACCACTCTGTTTTAAAAACCTTATCAATTGCTGAATAATTTTGAATTTGACCTGTCCTCATGTGAGCAGTCAGGGGTTCCAAACTACAAGTTGTATTTCTTCCGCGTAAAAACTCATGCATTTTTCTATGCTCTTAAAAAAGATATCATATAGAGCTCATGAAATCTTGCAATGGAAGTGGATCATGTCATCCACATTGGAAGTAGCATTAATAAACGTGCGAATGCGATAATGTATGATTGGTGTCCAAAAGAGGCAAATTGCGGCTTCCTGAGAACGTATAAATGAGAGACTTTTCAAACCAAGTTTTTCTGCTGCTGGTTACTCAGCACTGCTAGTGCCTCATGATATTTTGGGTAGCAGTTAATGGGCTTCCCTCCACCAGGCATAACTCATCATTTATGCAAGGTCTTTCGAGTAAACACGCGAATCTGGCCTTTTGGAAATTGGAGAAACACGCGAAAACGCAGGTCGCTTCCCCATAATTAAGCTCAATATTAAAGCTTCTTAAAAATAAGTAAACGGTGAATCCAAATGTATGGTTTCCAAAAAAATTCTCATGCAATGTCTGCGAGATAATTAACGAAACAGTGCTGCGCCATAAATAGAGTGTAAAACATGCAAAACCAAATATTCTCAGGCATCTTGTTAAGCCATAATTGGAAATATTTTTAATGCAGCGGGTCGGAACCTCGACTGATTAACCAAGAGGCTTATTTATTTTGCACCAGGACTTCGGGTCTATTTCCGTGAGTTTTTGAATACTTAGAGGGGTCCTCAACTAGAGATAGGAAGAGCAATGAAGCAAGGGACAACGAAGAGCCGACAGCTCGAACCTAAGGATGACTTTAGAGCGTTCCGTACGAAGGCAGAGAGTTGATATGCCAGTTAATTGAATTCCGTCTTAATACGTATAACTGTCCGTAGCCGCAAAATGAAGGGCGATCATCGTTTAAAAGACACGGGTCACACTTTTCGAACATTTATAGTTCTGCCATACGATGCGCTTTTGTGCATGTACACGTGATCCCAGCTGTCTTCTGGTATGGCCTGCATAATATTCATCATGGTCACTACATGGGATATTGGATAGTGCATAGGATTACTCAGTAGAGTCTGACCAGTCACTGAGTTTTCCGGCACAGCTGTGCTTTGGGATGTCGCACCACAGGCACTGACGTCGAAAACGCACCTGTAGTTTTCGTAACTTTTTTAAAGGGCGACGCTGCTCGGCTTGAAACCAGTTCGGAAGTTAGGGTCTGTTTAACTTTCTGGTGCGGACACATATAGTTCAATATTCTCCGATCTCAGAAGAAAACTCAGAAGGTAAACAAAATCCGTATATTCTGTGTCTACTAGTTTTTACTCTTTTAATTTTATTCGTACAAAAACTCTTTTAGAGATTTGATTGAGTGTTTTACGGGTTTCTGGTAGGACAGGAGAATAAGTCCTTCTGCACTGCAGGTGGCGCTGTCCCAAATTCCAAGGGTAGAGTCAAGCTCAGGGTTGGAGTTAGGATTAGGGCTAAGGTTTGAGTGGAAACCTTGAGACCAGACCAATTTCAGGACGCCGATTTGCACATATGGAGTTGCCAACCATAACACTTTTTAATTCTTCTCCCCGAGAAAGGACTAAATGGAAACGGCAGGCCGCCGTGGGGATGGAACTGCTGTCTGAAGTCAGCTCAGCCTCTCGTCTGATGCAGCCCGTGAACCCCTGGACCGCGCCTCGAGCTGGTGTCCTTGGTGGCCATTCGCCCTCACCCACCTTCTTTGACAGCGACTCCCGGCTAGATCCGTTGCGCCTATCAGATTCCTCCCTATCTTCGATCAGACCGTCCGCTGAAGTCTGGAACAACTTTCACGGCGGGATAACGGCCCCCTTCAGCGCCTTCATGCAGTCCAAACCTAGCAGCACAAAGTACTGCGGGCCGGCCGTCTCGGAAACGCAAGAGACCGCACTTGGCGAAGGTGGTGGGGAAAGATGTCCGGAGGTCTCATCTAAGCAGTCCGTATCGACGATAGGTCCTGCGTGGATGGCGCCTTTCCTGTCAGCGGGATCTGACCTCCTCTCCATCCTGTCCAGCAGTTCTGCGGAGAATAAGCTGCCGCTGGACCTCCTAAAATGTTTCCCATGGCCTTCCAACGTTAAGACAATTCCCTCTCTAACCGGATGTTACACACCGGTAAACTGAACAAACTGATGCTCTCCAACAAAAAATAATTTTCGTCTCTCTTCCTCTGCCGTTGTCAATGGTCCCTAAAATCTAAGCCTTAAGGTTATTTGTCTGTAGATGGAATGGAATCCTGTAGGATGTAGCAGTGGAAAGTCCCAGATTCCGGGCATAGAGACGTGAGGAGGAATATTAGTCATAACTGAGGAGATAATGTTACCGCTACCACCAGCCCCGACTATCCCCTTCTAGCCCCACAAGGCTAGAGAGACCTTAACGTGGCTAGAGGGGCTGCCCGGTGGGGCTATGACGGGCCAATTAATTAAAACAACCCCCTTTGTCCCCACTACTGGTAAAAATGCACGTTTTCGTCGTTTATGTCGCCCTTTCACGATGTCGGTTTTTCCTGCCCAGAGTGCATTCCCTGCGAAATTGACACTGCTGCCAGTCGTGACTACTGAAATAATGGGGATGGAAACATGCCGCAAGGTGCCCCCAAGGATCATTTAATGCATGACAAATCAGGAGACTTTAAGCCAAACTTTTAGCCATCACAAGAACTGTTTTTGGGCATGGTAGCTAGGCTGGAAAGTTATGCTCTGTTGACGCTGGTTGCTGGATTGTTGGAGAAATGAGCTCCTGTAATCAAAGATATGCATTCTTTGCCATGGCAAATCAGTTTAGTGTCATAGGGCTGTACTAGACAGCGGATTGGCCCCAGACTGATGATGGTGGGGGGAGTAACTTTCTTCATGTGAGGGTTACCGATTTGCTAGTTTGATGTCAAATCACAACTGAATGGATTACTCTCGTACAGTCCACTACTCTGCTAACTTCGTAACTAGCCTTTGAGGAAGGCCGCCCCACTATGCGTCAATTAAAGACATGTCGGACGCCCACAGACAGACCAGGACTCGGGCTTGATCTATCCTCGTGGGTTCCCATCGTCTCAGAAATGCATGTTCTCTGGAAGTTTTTATTATTTCTGCTAAACATAACAGACGAAACTTAATGCATCGGGTTGCGCCGACCCACTATGAAACGGCATCAACGGTTATCAAGAAACGTTCCATTGATGATCACACAATAAAGACCCACTTCTATGTGAGATACTTGCAAAACCGGTAATCAGCCTTGCGGGTGCAAGCAACCTTTATGTCACTAATCAAGGACATTGGGGTCCTTCATTGGTGGGCCTAGTGAGTCGGTGTCTTAGAGAACAGCCGTCATTGTGATCGAATGTCGCATTAAGTTCTGTAGATGTTGCCTAGATCAGGACATGTGGGCCGCAAGACAGCGCCGATAGAAACATCCGATTGGGTAACAATAGAAAAATATGCTGTAGACAGGCTTAATGCCTGGGTTGAATATTAAGTATCAAGAGCTTTACTGGTTTTTTGTGCAGGACCGACTGAGGAGATAAAAACCATTCTAAGACGGTACGTAATAGAGCTTGCTTCCTATGAATCCCAAAATCAGGTGTCTTTAAGGGTTAAATTTGCATTCAGAAATAGACGGTCGCTCTTTAACCGAATTAAAACCGTGTAGTTTGCATCGAAGTTGTCCTTTTTAGACCTCTGCGTGAGAAAATCGACTAACACTCCTTTTTTTCTGCTGCGATCCGAGTGACCTTTCTGTGTTGAACACAGGCCAGACATCGAAGACATACAAACATACACGTTCAGTTTAAATCCTAACATATTCTGCATCCCGTTCTCCAAAAATAGTTTACTGAATGCTACCGATATCTTCTTGGATGTCTTTCTAAAAAACTTCGTCTATTGACCTTTCGTCAATCTTCCATTAAAATGACAGGATCTGGTTTAGTTATAGACAAGGTAATTACGTCAGCGAGATTGGAAGTCCGCTCCAGACGCGAGTGACCGAACACGCAGCAGCGGTGCAGAGGAATGACGCCATCTCCCGGGTCGCAGCTTATTCGACGGGACCTGGTCGCACATTCAATTTGGACGGGGCCGAAATTTTCGCGGGAAGGGTCACTCACGTGGATCCTGTGATGCTTAGTTCGTGGTCCACTGACTCCCAGTCTATCAACAAGTGCAACATATCGTGTGTTGACACTAAACCTGAGCAGAATAATTAGCCGCGTTTTGGAGCGCACAGGCGGGCATTGTTTCCAGTGCCAGTGTCGGCGAGCCGAATGGAGGAGTGGTTATCGCGCCAACATTTAACATGGATTATAAAGGCACGAGGACTGACGATTGGAACGTTGGCCGTCACCCCATTATTGCAGCAAGGGCAACAGTCTGTTATGAAGGAGAGCCGCTAATTTTATTCATTATCCAGTTGCGTAACGACTATGTCCTATAAATGCTAAACCCATTGTGTCCGAAGTGCCCGTATATGATGCTGCGTTTGTGCGTGAATCCGAATCGTCAGGTGAACGAAGATCTGATTGCATCGATTGTGTCTATTACGACACGGGCGTTCGCGTCTTCGGAATTTTCGTTTTCTTAAAAAAATGGTGCCTTCTGCTCCGCCGATCAGTAATTGTAATGCTTATTTTTCGTTTTCATTCACCTGGAGATCTTCCATCATTACGTTGGTGTTCTGGTGGAGGTGTTGAGAATGCTGTTAGATTGGTTAGTTATTTTTCGTTAATTTGTGCTTAATTCACGAGTCAGAGAGGATGTAATGGGGGTTCAGATCAGTTTATTTGCGGGAAATGTAGGGGCTGCAACTTTGAACTCCCTATTAACGACAAGAAAGGGAAGTATATAAAATGGAAACACCAAGCAGCTGAAGAAGGAGCATCGAAACTGTACAGATAAACGAACTTTTCCAAGCGTTCGAAATACTAGCGTTAATAAGCACGTTGTACAGCAATCAATTCATGTATAATTGTGCCAAAGAACGTGTAGTAGGATTTCAGTTATCTGTAGGTGTCATAGTGAATCAAGTCTCAGCGTGCAATATGTTTATGGCAGCGGGAAAATTGAAAAAATAAACGCTACTGAATTATAGGCAGCGATACTAGAACAGTGATAAATCGTTAACGCGGGTCGTCAAGACGACATCGGTCGGGTAACATTATGGTGTGTGATGACATCCTGGCCCAGCTCCCGCTTAAAAGTCTCGAGGGATATTGACATAACGGTTACTGCAAGCAGAGGATTCCAAGCCTCAATCACTCTACCGGAGAATAGCTTCAGTGTGTCCAGCCCGGCACCGGTCACTGGCAGTTTGAGTGGACGACATCGGAGATTCGTCGTGGTTACAAACACAGGCAAAAAACAACAGTCCTGACCGCGCATAATGCATAATGTTTACATCAGACCACCTCTTAACTGACTCTAAATCAAAGGAAAGTGGTCGAGACTAGATAACCGTGTTTCGTAGGATAGCGAGCCATGCCCACTAACGAGTTTGTTTCACGCCTTCGGACTTTTTCCAGATTACTGAGGTTTTTAGCGGTCCAGAGTTTCCATGCTTGAATGGCGGACTCCAACTTTGGCCATACAAACGTCCGAAAGACTTCAGCGTAGCAATCCTCAGTGAAGGTAAAAGGTGTCCGCCTGACAAGGTACAGGGTTGACATCCCAGAATTGGCCACCTTTAAGCAGCGAAACGACATTTTAAGTGAAGCTGTGATTCATAAATCCAAATCCTCATGGGCGTCTACTTACTGCAACGAAAAGCCATTCAGGTAGTAAACGCTGCAGTTTGGAGATCGAGTTCCACCGACTCACAGAATATTGCACTTAGTGTCCTGATGAAACGGCAAGACCCAGACCTGCGAAAATTTATCGAACTGGTGCAGTTCGGATGACGCTCCAAACCATAACATCCTCAGCGAACATGGCGACATCACAATCCATTTCGCGGACACTATTGTTGACGTATATAAATAGCAGGGTAGAGCCGAGAGCGGAGCCTTGAGGAACACCGCTTTCAACCGCTACCCCCGCTGACTGCTCGTCACCGATGTGCCCATTCGAGAGCGGCCGATGAAAAAACTGTGAATTCGCCTTAAAATATTACCCTTAATGCCTGTTTAGGTGAGGTTATACAGGAGTTGCGGATGTGGCACAGTATCGAGTGCCTAATTACAGCCGATATAGACTGCGCGCACTGCATTCCCTCCATCAACTACTCGGGTCCCCGCGCATGACCTAAGTCACTTTCATAAGACGTCTGTATGGACCAGCTTCCTATGCAGTTAAAAGGGATGACCGCACAGACGGTCCGTCCCAGCTAATTCGAATAAGTCGTCAGACGGAATGATCATCAAGTCGTCAAAGTTTAGGGCACAATCATGACTCCTGGCAATGCGGTACATTTAAATGAGATTGCCGCGCAGTTGCCCGTAATTGAGAGGAAAAAAGCCAGTCTGGTTTCGTAAGGCAGATGACCAAGATACTTCACCACATTCGTACCCATCACCTGTACTTTTCCCAGCTGTTGATAATTCTTCTTGGATCACGGTCTCCAGGCCTGGACCGTATACTCTAAGTAAGACCGAACGAATACATCGCAGGTCTTCTTGAACGGCTCCTCGTCGATCTGCACAGCTTGCCTCAGAGCAAATAACACCCTTATCGCGCTTTTGGCTGCCCCTTGGCACTGTGAAGATAGTTTCAGCAAGAAGGTTATTAAGACGCCAAGGTGTTTCCGTTTCTCGACATTTGGAAGGGGCTGCTCATTAAGGAGGTATCGGAGGAAATCATCCTCATTTTTGGTCCTTTTGGTACGGAATCACAGGAACATACATTTTTTCACATTAAAATGTAGAAGCAAACGAGCTGACCAACTGCTCAGTCAGTTAAGACTCTCTTGAAGTGCCTGCGTGTCAGCGTCAGATATGATGGCTCTCCAGAGTTTAACAGCGTCAGCAAACATGATGGCGATACAAACAAAATCGTTAAACTAGGAATAGGAAACGACCTTAAGACTGAGCCCTGAGGACATCACTTAGAAGGGGGCAGGAGTTGACTTCGAGGCATCAACACACACTGGTTGTGACTTCCCTGTAAGAAAACCTACCCTGCCAGCACCAGTCC